TCCCATACCGAACTCCGAAGTTAAGCAGGCGGGTCCCCGTGTCAAAGCGGGGTGGGTAGGGCCCACATTTTTTTCATTTTTGATAATTTTGTAGGTAAAATGAATCCGGCTCTAAGAGGTATTTTAACTGCCGGTTGCACGGAGGTGATTCAAGTTTAAAGCTTTGTGCCACACTGCCGCACTGCCCGTAAGGCGCTCTGGCCACCTGGGGTAGGCGCATCGCCAAAAATGCGTCAGCGAGGCAGCGGGTTGGTAGAGACTTCTTTCTTTGCAGTGTTATTTGCAGAGAGCGAATGATCATTGGATGTCGAAAAATCCGGGAGCTAGCATCTCGGATCACCTTCCTACAGTTCGAACCTGTGTGGGGGACATCATTGTTTTCCCGCGGAACCACTCCACATGTGTGTCAACACACGTTTGTTTGATCTGATATGGGACTCATGAGTGTACAATCTATGCAGAGGCAATATCAGTGGGTTTTTGGATCCCATAAAATAATAAAAGACTATACGCCGTGCTTTTTTATTTTCTGGGGTTTGTCACCTGCAAGCAGATAACATGGTCGATACATCGAACGGACCCTAGAAGATGTTGTTGTTTTATTGTTATGTTGTTATTTGTTGCCTGATGTGCAGCTATGTAAGTGATGTGTATCATTTGAAGCGTTTTCCTTACATGTAGCTGTTACGACGTTGTTGACAGAAGTGTTAAACGGTACCCACCTATTTTCGTGGAAAATGCCTCTACAAGAACCTTCTGTTCACGTAAGTATTGTCGTTCAGTTGTGGTTAATTGTCATAGAACCTAATACCGGTATGGTTAGGTATCATATTTAAAAATCTTCCTTGACAAAGTTTTGTGTTTGTTTTATTCCTATTTCTACTATCCTTTGATAGGTCTCTTGAAACTTTCTTGATGTTGTCCTGATGTCCTGTGCTGTTCATTATTTAAACATGTTCTAATTATGTATGGCAATTTTCTCTTGATAGCTTCCATTTGGTCCGCCACCTGTTTTGCCCCTCGTCGACAAGCAGCTAAAAGAGTTTATTCTTAGCCCAGAAGAATTACCCATTCATGACTACCGTTTCACTCAGCAACATTGGGGACGGACCCCGGAACCTCATACACTTCTCAATATTGAATCTGCTCCATTAGGCACCACTTTAAAGGTACAGTAACTTAACATTTTGAAAGTGCAACAAGAATTCAATTTAGTAATAACAGAAAAAGAACATAACCCGTTTGACTCTGCATGTTTTAGGTAAGAAGAGATCTGGCTGTTGGGGAGATCATAGATTTCGTTGAAGTTGGTTTTGATGAGAGCACCGAAGCATCCAAAGCTATATCTGAAGCTCGAGAACCATTATGGGCAGGGCAGTTTTTAGAATCAGAGGACCTCTTTCTTCAAGCCTCTACTCAGAACTTAAACTTAGATGATGGTAATTTCTTGTTCTTTATATAGTTAAAAATGTTGTAAATTGGGTATTTCACTTGTCCTCCTAAAGAAAAAGTACTTGAAATATTGCAGATTTAAGCAGTGTGCCTCCTGGATTTCATCGTGGTATAGAATTTGACGCTGATGGGTTTACTCCTATTGGTTTTGAGGCAAGAGGAGATGTACCAAACCAACATGAAAACAGTGAAAGTAGAGTTTCAGAGCCTGCTGCTGCAATTGACTCAGCACCAAGCACACTTATTAACCTAATGGATCTTGTGGAAAAAGAGCAAGAGCTCCTCAGTGAAAGTATGCCTTCAAAAACAGAAACTGAGGCTCCAAGTAATGAATTGACTTCACCTTCTACTAATGAAGTTGAACAAGACAGCGATATTATTCCGAAAGATGTTCCAGTACTGAAGATAAAAGACACTGTGCCTCTTAAACACAACAAGTTTCAATGGGCTGAAATTCTTGATGTCAGCCAGCCTGTGACTGACTTCCATGAACATGTTCCAAACATGGCCCATAAGTATGAATTTGAGCTTGACATTTTTCAAAAGCAAGCTGTCATGAAACTTGAGGAGCGATGTGATGTGTTTGTTGCCGCTCATACATCTGCTGGTAAAACAGTTGTTGCAGAATATGCTATAGCTCTGTCTATGAAACATATGACAAAGGCAATTTATACCTCTCCTATTAAGGCTCTATCTAATCAGAAATATCGAGACTTTCGGCATACATTTGGTGATGTTGGTCTTATAACAGGTGATTGGAAAATTAATGAAACAGCTTCATGCTTGATCATGACAACTGAGATTTTGCGTTCTATGTTGTACTGCCGCAGTGATGTTGTGCCTGATTTAGAATATGTGATATTTGATGAAGTTCATTACATAAATGACTCAGACCGTGGTCATGTGTGGGAGGAAGTTCTCATCATGCTGCCACCTAGTGTGTCAATTGTGATGCTCAGTGCTACAGTGCCCAATACATTAGAGTTTGCTCAATGGGTTGGTCGCACTCGCCAAAAAAAAGTTCATGTTATAACAACACCCAAGCGTCCTGTTCCACTGGAGCATTATCTGTACACAGGCACTGGCGGCAGCTCTAAAGATGATCGGTTTCTTATTATGGATGGTCAAGAAAATTTTCTTCTTGAAGGATATCGAAAAGCCGAAATGTCTCGAGAGAAGAAGCCATCAGCAAAACCAATGCCTCAAGGTAGAAACCCGCCAAAACAGCAATATTGGAACCTGAACAAAGAAAAGACCATGTGGATAGCATTGGTTGATCATTTAAGGAAGAGAGAAGAACTTCCTGTCGTAGCCTTTACTCTCTCACGCAATCGCTGTGATAACAATGCAGAGGAGCTGAGAAGCTTGGACCTTACAGTAGGCACTGAGAAAGCAAAAATAAATGGTTTCATTCACAGGTGTATTCAGCAGCTACAAGATGCTGATAAAAATCTTCCTCAAGTGGTTAGGATGAAAGATTTGTTGCTTCGAGGTATTGGAGTTCATCATAGTGGAATTCTGCCAATTTTGAAAGAAATTGTAGAAATGCTCTTTCAAGATGGTTTGGTAAAATTGCTGTTTGCAACTGAAACTTTTGCTATGGGTGTGAATATGCCAACAAGATCAGTTATCTTTGACTCCATTCGTAAATATGATGGTGTTGAGTGGAGACATCTATATCCTGGAGAATACATTCAAATGGCAGGTAGAGCTGGAAGGAGAGGTAAAGATCGTGTTGGAAATGTTATTATTTTATGCAAAGGGGAAATACCTAAAGAGGTTGACTTAAGAAATATGATGAAAGGTAAACCAACTGCACTCCAATCAAAATTCCGTTTGACATACAAAATGATGCTGAACTTGCTTAGAAGAGAGAACCTGAAGGTAGAAGAGATGATGTCTCGTAGTTTTAAGGAGAGTAATGTGCAAGAGACTAAAGAAAAAATAATAACTGAATTAAAAACGGTGGAAGAGGAGATAAAGAGGAAGGGTGAATTGTCAAGTGCTTCTCCCCATTCACAGCTACTGATTCGTTTCTGTGAGAAGTCCTTAGATTTTCTTTTGGATTGGAATCAAATACAGCGTGAAGTTATGGAGAGATGTAGTGCAAAATATCTAACAACTGGAAGAGTTGTCCTTGTCACTTATCAAGAACACTGCAACAAGATAGGAGTGATCCTGATGTCAGAGAGTGTGAAAAGGGAACAAGTTTATCGGGTGCTTGTTCTGTGTCATGCAAATGAAACGCTACGCGAAAATCCTCTGACAGAAAGGGAAAATGAAGAATGTGATGAGGTGAACAAACTGTTATCTTTTGCTTGGCCTCAAAAGTATTTTGTTCCTGAAGGATCTGGTGGTCATACCCTCATTCAAGTAAAAGGAAAGGATATTCTTGAAGTTTCTAATCAGGTTTTGGATGTGAAAAATATAACTTATATCAAACAGGATTGGGAGAAACGTCAAATGCCCCGTTTCAGGTATATTTTTGAATTCATACAATCTTATTGCTTTATCCCTTATTTGCTTATAATATAAGTTCATCAATTTTAAGGTTTTTTTGGTGTTTGATTACAGGGATGCACCTGTTGGTCAGATGTGTGCACAGTTAGTTCAGGATCTCTCACAGCTCATGCATAGTGTAGCAGCTGGTGAAAATGTGATTTCTTGGCTGAATCCAGTACAAGATATGAAAGTTAATGATATCAATCTGGCACCTGAAATCCGAAGACTTGAAATTATTCGCCAGGAACTCTCTACTGATCCATGCACGAGTTTTGCCAACTTAGAGGATGAGGTAAGCATTTGTTTGTTTAAATTTTTGTCTTTTGCCACCCTTTAAATTATGTAAGGTTTGGTTGATATTAAAATTACCTCACAGGTTAGAGACATTTATTCATATTTAAAACTGCAACAAAAAAAGAAAAATTTGAAGTATACTATTTCATATCAAAGCATGACCCTTTATCCAGACTACTTGAACCGTCTCAATGTTTTGAAGAGACTGCGATACATAGATGACCATGATACAGGTCAGGACAATCATTTAACTTCCTTTTTAAGTCTTGCTTTCAAAATGTTTTATTGTGCCTAACTGCTTATTTTTTTCTGCAGTGGAGCTAAAAGGCAAGGTAGCTTGTGAGATGAGCAGCCATGAGCTGATGATTACAGAGTTGGTAATGGAAGGTGTTCTAACAAATTTGCCTACTGCGGAAATTGCTGCCCTGCTTTCATGTCTTGTTTTTCAACACAAAACTGATAGAGAGCAGACGTTGACAAAGAGTCTTGAGCAAGTAAGTAATTTCATGAAAAAATTTTGTGTCTTATTCCGTGTTTCAAATAAAACATTTTTCTATTTTCTTTTTCAAAGGGTATAGAAGAAATAGAACGTATCCACAGGGGTATAGAAGATGTGGAGAGAGCTTTCAAAGTTGGTGTAGAGGACCCTAGTTGTGAGAGTGAAAACCAGCTTAACTTTAAATTAGTGCAAGTTGTTTATGAATGGGCCAAAGCAAAGGTAATTCAATGTCAAACTATCTGTTTTTTTACTGCAATATTCCAAAATCTGATATCTAACAATTTACCTGTTTTTGTTTTGATTTTGTTTTTTTAGCCATTTGCAGAAATTATGCAGCTTACTGACATTCAGGAGGGAATTATAGTAAGGTGTATTCAGCAATTACATGAAACGCTGCAAGATGTAAAAAGAGCAGCACGAATTTATGGTGACCCTAAGTTGAGCAATAAAATGGATGAAGCATCTAATGCAATTAAGAGAGACATTGTATTTTCAGTCAGTCTGTACACCAAAATGTAGGACTTTGGTCAGTGTTTCTGTTAGTAGGTCTATATGTGTGTATGAACTCTGTACATCTAATTTATTTCTTATCAATTTGGTTGAAAACGCTTATATTACATTTAATTTTATGGAATGGATAATGTGCAATTTATTGCAGATGTTCTTCTGGTTGTGAGAAATTAATTAATGAATGGTTGTGAACTGAACTGGGTTATTCCCAATTTCATGTAGGTATTTGCTGCCAAAAGCCACATTAT